ATATAATTAGAATAATTATCGAGTTCCAACAAAATAAATAATTATTATATTTATAAAAAACTATATTATTAAACCAAATATAAATTACTTCGTTATTGTACATAAATTAAATTATAAAAAAATTGGATTAAAAAATTACATAAAAAAATGAGGAATTTCAAATAGTTAATTTGATACTAATATCGATATACTTTTGTCAAATTTTTATGATATCGTCAAACATATATTTTATTCAAAAATAAAAACATCATCGTTTTCTCAAAATCACATAAAGCCATATTATAACATCGACTGAGATAAAGAATAAAATGAAATATTAAAAACACGATGTATCTCGCTGCATTGCGCGAGTTCGCTTCTAATAAATTAGAAATGAAATAAGCTTTCAGACTTTAACACCTCTTAAAAAACAAACGCCATCTAAATGTATTTATTGAAGTCAGAAAACCATTGTTATGATTTACCCTAGGGACTAATTTTGTAATTTACTTCATAAAAATGTTTTAGGTATCAAGTACGAAGTATTTTTTCCACACGTCCACGTCAACAACAACGTTTTAAGATAGCCCAAAATCGACTTTCGTCACTCTTCTGTAATTCCATCTCTCTCCCTTCCCCCCTTTGCCGTGTGACTTTCTTTTTCAATGCCCATGGCAGCAGTTTGGGATCAATTTTGAAAAATTAGGGCACGGAATCGACGACTTGCGATCGGTTTGATGGGATGTAATTGCTTGATTTCTTAGGAATAGCATCGTTGGGCGACTAAAGCTCGTTTTCTACAGTTAAAAAAATTATAGGGTTTGGTTTTGCTGTTCGTGGAAAAAAGTTCATTAGCACGCATGAAGGGTCCGTTAGATCGAACGAAAGTTGTGCTTCGGCACTTGCCGCATACGATTTCCCAGTCGGCGCTCATGGAGCAAATTGATGCCCGTTTTTCCGGTCGCTACAACTGGTTCTGTTTCCGTTCTGGCAAGCAGAGGTTAGGGTTTTATGTGCATTATGTTTAAGCTTCTGTTTGCTGCTACTATGTTGAAATTTATATTTTAAACTAAGGAAGGAATGCCGCTGAATCGCTTACCTTCCAAACTTGGACCACACGCTTTCTGAACACGAGAGTAATTATAGGCTTTTGGCTATCCATAGTCTCTGGAGATATTGAGAAGAAATTTATATATTTTTAAGCCTGTGAAATTTGGATTCTTCGTATATGTGGATGAGTGTTGGGCAATGGAGTTATATTTGTATGTGGATGAGTGTTGGACGATGAAGTATACTGTTGGAATTTCTCTCCCTGAAAACCTATGAAACATTTGGACGTTTTGTGGGTATTAGTTTGACAAGCTTTACTCAAGATGACTTGTTCGTTTGTGAAGAGAGCAGTCAGAGCACTCCACGTTCTGTTGTTCAATTTCTGTTTTTGTTCTACTATTTGTTGGTTGGTTGAGTGGCTTAGTGGAAATGGATATACAGCAATTAAGCTCGTAATTACTGTAAGGGAACTTAGACAGCCTTGTTGTCATATAAGTAGGATCTTTTTGTATGATGAAGCTTAGCCCAAGTGATTCTGGTAAACTATATCTCTCAATAAGTCAAGATGATATTTACCTTCCATATTTAGCTTTCGAACTGCCCATGTGTTCTTATGACTACACCGTTCCGGGCCTTTATGACAAGTAAAAGATGGTTTTGTTAATTAGTCTTGGTTGCCATGCTCCTTTTATAATGGTTAATTAAGTTTTCTGTCAGTTTGCTGTGTGCAATTCTAATACCAGTTTATGATATTTTGCTGATGGATGTGTGATAACTTAAAGGTTGTCAGAGGAGAAAGAAATGCCTTTTACATCCGTCTTTGTTTTGCCTTCGTTACATTTTAAGAGTAGCATTGTCATCTAAATAATCCTATCCTTGCAACTCTCTCCCACTTGGTCACTCATCCTGTGCAATAATGTCCCCCCTCTTCAAGCATTGTTCATAAATCATCATATCTCTAAATATTCCACTTATTTTCTGGAACCATCTATTTTTGGCAGAGTGACAATTTCTTATTGAACTCTGTTTGCAGCCTGAAGTGTCAATCATATTCCAGAGCCTATATCGACTTTAAGCGGCCAGAGGATGTCATTGAGTTTGCGGAGTTCTTTGATGGGCATGTTTTTGTTAATGAGAAGGGTAATGCTTGAGCATGTACTTTAAAAAGATGGAACAACATTGCAATGTTTCCCTTTTTGATTCGCAAATATATATGTTTATTTATACTAAAACCTCAATACATACAGAGCACAGGTCATAGGCAGTCTTAGGGCTGTGAGCCTGGCACTGACATGGGAAATAATATTTAGTTCCCTTATATTATCCTCTTTTCACCTATTATTATTCTTTCTCAAATTGGTTTCTCTGATTGATTATTAAGGTTTAACCTTTACATTACCTCAGGTACCCAATATAAAACAATTGTTGAGTATGCACCTTCACAGCGTGTTCCAAAGCAATGGTCTAAAAAAGATGGACGTGAAGGGACCATAGGAAAAGGTAGTACGAGCTTATCTAGCATGCTGGTTATGCTTGCCATTGAACTCGTTACCTCATTTATCACTCACACCTAACTTTTTGATGAACATATAGATCCTGAATATCTTGAATTCCTTGAATTTGTTTCAAAGCCTGTCGAGAATCTTCCCAGTGCAGAGATACAATTGGAAAGGAAGGAAGCTGAGCGTGCCGGTTAGTCCAAAAGTTCTTTTAGCTGTTTGCTTCTGCAATGAACTTCATCTGGTTTTGTAGAATTGAGAATAATTTAGTAGATGTAAGCAGGCATAAATGGGTTAATAAACCTCAAGTTTTATACTATGGTCTTCCAGGTGCTGCTAAGGAGGCTCCTATAGTTACGCCTTTAATGGATTTCATTCGCCAGAAACGAGCTGCCAAGGGTGGACCCCGGGTAGGAATTCTACTTTTTGGAGCATGTAGTTTATTTTGTATCAAGTTATAAGAACTTACAACTATGAGCAACTGAAAGCATAAAGGTGCTTTTAGTTGCAAATCAGGAAATGTTTTAATATACAAGTTGCTAAAGGCATCTAAAAGATCTGAAACAATTGACAAAGATGCTAGAGACACATCAGTTGTTTGTTCAAGTTTTCTCTGTACTTCACAGGAAACAATCATTTTGCAAAAATGCAAGGGAAAGACCTTGTAAAAAGACTTCTCTTCTCAAACCCTGCAAATCCCATCAGCTTTGGCACGAGGGTTGCCTCTCACTTCATTTTCATTAATTAATAAAATTTTCATGTTTATTGTTATTCATATTAATAATTGTCATCACTTCATCAAAGCTGCAAGAACACATTTTACTCTATAGTCTAAACATACATCTATAAAGGTGGTTGGGTTTTAGTCAATTGGGTAAAACCATCATTTTGTAACTTGGCATTAAGATTAAGCAAATAGTTTAGACAAAAAGGATTATCGGCTACTTTTGTAATAATTACTATGGGCCACAGTAAAGTAAACTTGATTTTTATTCAAAATGGAGAACATTGCAAGTGGCGTAAAACATAGCAGAATCATCATAAAGGAAAGGTTGTAATTCTGCTGGGAGAAACAGAGCATTATGTTTGCAAAGCAAATCCTCTAAGTGGGGATTGTGGAAGTTGAAAATGAGGCTTTGACTTGTCATTAGCTTCAGTTGGTTGCTAAGTAAATTAGATTACACTTTATAATGTACTTGTATTGGTGCAGCTAAATTGCTGTCATGTGAGTTTTAAGTAGAACAGATATGGATTGTGCAGTACAAGACCGAACGTGTTTGCATGCATCCAGCATGTTCAACCATCATACTGGGTATATTGATTTTAATGAACCAATATGATTTACACCATATCGGTTACAGGACAACTTCTTGTCAAGGTAGATTAAGTAATGTTGGGCACTTCTCATTGTTTGCCTTATATTTGTGAAGGAACCTCTGGAATTAAAGCTCACATAAGTTTGGGTGATGTCTTTTTTAGTGGAAATGTCAAGGGATGGGAATGGGGAAGTGGTTTATGAAGTTGTGGCACAGATTTTGGACTGACCTGAATGATCCTGTATTCCTGTATCTGTTAGCCTACTTTTCATGCATTGATTGAAACAGAGCAGGATTGTCAAACAATGATGGAGAATCGGGCTAGTGCTTTTCATCTGTCGGGTGCGGGCCTTTCATTCTTAAATTTTTTGATAAACTGCGAAAAGTGCGGATAGAACTATGGAGAGGGGAGCTTTTTCTCGACGATAGTGCACTAGGAAAACCATGGAGCGTCCATAGCGAATAGGTAGGTCCAATGAGTAGGCCGTTATTGATCATGTAGACTTACAAAGAGAAGAATTACTTGAATCTTCTTTAATGGAATCAGTCATATGTTCCATGTTTTTGGGAACATCAAAATTAGGTTGGTTGGAAGCTGCAACAACAGTAGCAGAAGACTTTAAAGGCAGAGAGAGGAGAGAGATTATTAAACATAAACTTCATGGAGTCAATGATGAGATAAAGGAGGGCTGGGTATGATTTGTCATTGTACTTCATACAAACCGTGTTTGTTTAATTGAAAGTTGCTTTGTATTATTAGGGCATTTTTTGTCTTATTCATTAATTTTATTTTATTCAGACATCTAACTTTACATACCAAACAGCATGTTTTAAAGACTCATTTCATTTCAACAGGGCAACCAAACATGATAATGGAATGGTAATGGTTCCTCCAGTACCATGCTCATTCCATTACCTTGTCTATTCCATCCCTTCCAATTAGACATACCATAGCTTTTCTTTATCTAGTGGTTATGTTGTGTGGCTAAAAGTTCACTTGCGATAAGGTGAACAAGTAGAGTATACTAAGGCGAGTACTCTCTCTCCTCATTCAAAGAAGATAGAGGAGTTCCCTGCCTTAATGAATAAGCGGGAGAGGGAGAGTGAGAGTGAAAGGAATTTCAAATAGCTCGTCCCAGCTCAGACTATGGTGGAGGAGGTACTGTGAAGAACACCCCAACAGGGTCCCTCTTGTTTATCCTAATGGAAGTGATAAAGATATATTTTTGGGTGGTACCGTCCTATCTTGTGTTGTACTCTTCTAAGCTTTGACTGTGATTATGTCACGAGTTCCTTTGAAATGAGACCAACTTTGGGGTGATTACGTTGATAAGTATTACCCCAAGATTTAAACATAATTATGCATTGTCTTTGGAGGGAAGGAAAGTCGGAGACTGTTACATAATGACATGTGGGTTGTTAGTGAAGATCATCTTGACAATGATCAAATGCAGAATCTCAAAGAATCATTTTAGTTGATGCTTTGTTTTGCTCAGTTGATACTGTTCTTTTTCTAGATTGCAACTGTCAGAGTGGTTTTTGGGGCGTGTCTCGTTTTTCATTAATATTTCTATCCTTCTTAGACATGTTTTTTTTGGTAGATTATAGATTGTCTCATACGTGGGTTTACTTATGTTGCTGTAAACAATGAAGCAAAGGTCCCCAAAAAGGATGGTGATTGATTTTCTGCACCTCATTTCATAGGGCTGGAAAATGTGATTATTTACATATTTTGCTGTGAACATTGAATCAAAGGATCAAGTTCTTAGAGGGCCTGACTTCCATTCTGTAGTGTAATCTGGTATTTATGCATCCTCACTGCTTTCAATAATCTACTGCAGAGGTCTTTGCCTAATGGGAAATTAATGAGACGAGCTGGTGCATCATCTTCTAGTTCAAGCTCTAGTATAGTGAAACGTGGTTCTGAAAAGAGGATGACTTCTACCATGGTATCATTATTTTAACTTGTATTGTCAACTGAGTTTTATGTAAAAGCATACACCAGGTTGCTATTTTGTGATTTAAATGCTCTTATTGATTTTCCTACCCGACATCACAGCAAGTCATTTATTTATAGCAAATTGTGATACAAAACTCTATGTATGATGTGCTTGTGATGTTACATCGTGGTATATGTTGTGGTTTGTTTTCATATGATTCTAAGATAAAATTATATATATGTTAGTAGTAATACTTCATAAAATCTTGGAAGTCTTTTCTCAGCGTGATGAAATTCCTCTTGACCCATTCCCACTTTGCTTCCTGATGCACAATGGTATAGAGGGGGCTAACTACAAGGGGGAGAATGGAGAAGCAAGTTGAAAGTGAAGGCGTATAGTGACAAAGAACAAGATTAAAACATGATATCGTTTGTAGCCAGTCTGTATCAAACGAAGGGGTTATGTTGATAATACTTATAGTGGAAGCTCTACATCTCGGAACTAGGAAGCCCTTATTAATTAATAATTTTCTTATCAACTACTATCACTAGAATACTCAAATGAAGAAAAAGGAAATGTGAAATTAGGAAAAATATTCAAGATCCTCTCATGATTAAATATTTATTTTAGGTTAATACTTATAATGGAAGTTCTACATCTAACGGAACTAGGAAGCCCTAGTTAGTTTATCATTTTCTAATCAACTATTATTGCTAGAATACTCAAACGAAGAAAAGGAAACGTAAAATTAGGAAAAATATCAATGATCCTCCCCTGATTAGATACTCGTATTCAGGAGAGGATTAGCATGAAATATTTACTTATTTTTACCATATCTTACTTCTAATTTGTTCTCTATTAAAGCAGTAGCATATAAGTTCTCTCGCAACATAATTTCATATTACTAATATATTGCAAATTTCAGCAGCACCTTTTTTGTTATCTCTATCATCGTTCTGATTTATTTTCTGATTCTCTCTAGTAGATGTATGCCTTCTCTTTTCCAAGCAGAAGTGAGTATCATATTTTTTAAGATCAATTGAAGGCTTAATTAGAAGATTTGGAGAGTGGGAGATAACTTCCATGCATGAGCTTCTTTTCTTTCTTTGAGAGTCAACCTACACTCACTGTTAGCAAAGAGGCTCGAGCCATGGCCACTAGTTAACAAGATTCTGTTAGTACCAATTGGTCCATAGGGTACTGGTAAAACTTTTTAATCTGAACTGATAAACTTGAAAAGAGCATGGTTTAAAAGGCCCAAAAAAGTCCTGAGGCTTCGTCTCACACTTGTCTGGTTGCAGAGGTGAGGCGGTGAGTGAGGCTGTGAGGCGGTAAGGCTGTGTGAGAGGCGTACACCTTGTTTAAAGATAAAGAATTCAAGTGTTAAAATACATTGTGTCTAAGTCTTTGTTAATGGTAGTGTCAGACCAGGTGGCGTACTCTCTGACAATCTCATGTTGTTAGTGGTAGTGTCAGACCAGCAATTTGTGTGTATACAAGTCTCCCACTTTGAAGAACCTTATATACCTCTCAAAGTCCCAATAGTGGTAGTGGCAGTGGCAGCCCAACATAGTGTGTGTGTATATATATATTGTCCCATGGAGTGGCAGCCTAGCAGAGTATGTGTACACATATGATGCACAGTGGTAGTGCCAATATTTATATTGTGTGTATATATAGTATTTATGTATTTTGTGTTTAATGATTAGCATTTTGTGTATATATATTATTTGAATTTTATTTATTTTCCGCCTCTGACCACTTCGAGGCTTACGCCTCACCTCATCAATGGAAAACGCCTCGCCTCGCTTTCCGTGCTTTAAAACCTTGGAGAAGAGATTAAAAGTTCAGTTATTTTTGTCTCGTCTTTTCCCCCTTAAAGCCCTTGTATGGATGAGAAGTAGATGAAAGAACCCTGGATAATGTGGCTATCAGTAAAGTCTGTCATTGAAAGCATCAAATTGTACTCTCATGAGATAGATGCATTTAACATTGATATACTAATCTTAATTATGAACACTGGTCAAAAAAATAATCTTAATTACCAATTTATCATTAGTATAGGTCATTAGTAATTTACAGTATTTTGTATATTAAAGTAGCTTCTGATTTTATAATGTTATCTCTGCGTTTGATTGAGTCAAGGTTTTTATAGGACATGGTTGCTCAATTTTGAAGCAAAATAATTTTATATATAGTTATTTAATTGCTTTTACATGGTATTAAATCTGGTATATGTATGATCTTTATGGGCAAAGGTTGATGGTGGAATTTCCTTGAATTTCTCTTACGTTATTCTGATTGACAGTATGTCCTAAGGGATAGTGGAAAGAGCACAAATGTTAAAGATAAGTCAGCCTATGTTAAACGAGATGATCGTCAGGTTTCTGAAAAGTCTCTTAGTTCATCTGCTGCATCTGGAAGTGTATTACAGGAGGAAGAAAGGGGTATGTTTCATTGTTGTCATTAGTTTTCTTCGTTAGTCATTTTTCACATCAAGATAATAATATTATGTCTTCCCCCTGTCCTCTCTTATGTAATATCTATATATGATATATAATTTCATGTCTATCTAATTAATGTTGCTATTAATTTTGTACTTTTAGCTTGATGTTATAGTGGGGGTCAATTTTTTTTCACTTCTATCCTATATGGGGGCTTAATTTAAAACGAAAGAGAAGCCTAAATCAAGTGTACACAATGATCATGACATAATAATCAACCGGGTGGGAATGCTGGCATATAGTTTTCATACAGTTTGCATTGCTTGCTAGTAGCCTCAATTTAAGCTTCTAAGATATGACTAGTTACATGCACAACCAATGTTATAATCGCCATAGAATATGTAGCATCAAGTGCAATTAGATCCATATCTTGACTCTGATGTTTATGGGATCCTGCTACATTTCTAGATCCATAATTCCTGGAGAGAAGGTGGGTAACTTGGGAGGCATTCTCTATCTGCACTCTTAGGGGGATCATTGGATGAGAATTCTAGAAAAAGAACTCAATAGAATTACTGGTACTCTTCTTGGATCCAGGTGGTAGAACAAATATCATCTAAAGCTTGAGTGTTGAGAAAGTTGCCATTTCCACTTGTTAAATTTTTCCTGAAGAACAATGGTACCTGTTAATTGTGATGTTAAGAAAAATAGTAAATCTTAGAAAGTGGGATTATGAAATCTTAAAATCAATAAGAGGTTTTTTGGGGGGATGGGGGTGGATACATTACATCTTTTCCTGAATTTATGTGCAGCTGTTGACTTTTTGTCCATCTAATGCACAGGCATATCCAGATTAAATATGCTTATAGTAGCTGATACCTTTCATTTATCTAATACATGTGCATGCGTGTTGTACTGGTTACAATCTTCAAGATTCAAACAGTTAATATGAAGTTGGAATAGAATTGATTTGGCAGGGCCTCTTCTTAATTTAGGTCCGGTCTCTATTAAACCTAGAGAACTGCTAATTGATGAGGCCTATAGCTGACAAGATTGCGTGTGAGGACAGAGCAATGAGCTTCACGTAAGCTTTAACAAATATCTTGTACTCTTTATGCAAGGAAGGGATCAGGACTCATCTTCTTAAGGATTTCTAGCTCAAACACAAATCTTTAGCTTAAAATTATTATAGAATTGCCTAAATGCTACATTTACAGTTGAAGGACATCAAGTTCTTTCTTGTATCATAATCTGGAAAATGGTTACGCAAGAGCTACTTCTGTTTATATTTGCCATATGACTTAAACGAGCATTTAGTTATCGTTGCGTCGATTAGTAATTCTTATAAGCACATGAAAGGTGACATGCAGATTTGGAACAACTTTTTTTTGAGTTCTATTGAGCTTAAATTAAAGGTTTGTTGGATCAAACACCCCTTTCCTCAAGTTATTTGCTGGTTTTTAAACTGGCTGAAAAGGTCCAATTATGACCAAAATTATCCTTGAGAAAAATGTGAACGAAAGGCAAAATTCGTACTTCAGTGACATACACTCAATATGCACACTGTTATAGCCCAGCCCTAGAAAGCTGTAAGGCTAAGAAAAGGAAAAAGAAGTAAGCGGTTGAAAGACAGGTGGAAGAACTGCTTTGCCGTTCAAGATAATAGGAACATCATATCTATCTACTTTGAGTGGCTAAAAGCCTTGGAGCTGTTTTTGCATGCTCACTTTTATACCACTTGCTCCATCCCTGTTGGAACATCACATCTTTCTACCAAGCAAACAATAAAAACATTCTCCCTCCATTTTCTATCAATTGGTATCCTTTACTTTGAATGTCAAACTTGTATTTGCCAATTTTACATTTATTCCCCTTTACCCAAAATAAAAAAGTTCTATAGTTATTTTATATTTCTTTTACATTTTTAGACAGATTCTTTTTCTATATACAGTAATTTAACTTTTGATATGGCTACAGTTTTCCTCAGAAGTTGTTTGTTATGTAAAACTTGAAACCCAAAATAGTTTATTTGATATGTGAAGTCAATATTATGCAACTATTGGATAATTGGGCATAAAGAAGGACTTACAAGTTATGGTGTATATTGTGTAAAATAAAGAAACTATAACCTACTTCATGGAGAAAGCTTGCAACTGGGGTTTTTATTTATCCTTAGCAGTTATTTCATTCCATTATTATGGTTTTCTGGTTCTTCCCAGGAGTGTCGAATTATGTCAAAAGAGTCGATGTGTCTATAGAGCCTAGAGTAAATTGGTTTGTTGATGTCCAAATTTTTTGAATTAAGATAGGAGAGAACAGATCAAACTACCAATGTAGGTTAATACCCTGAGGCAGACATATTCTTGGCCATACATAACTACTTCATTTATTTGATAGGTTACTCAAGTCATCAATCAGACACGATAATGAACATGCTGTTGATGTTGCTTCCTTCTTGTTTTGTAAATTTCCAGTCCCTAAGTTCTTAATTTTGTAAGGCAACTGGTTTCATTTCCACGACAACCACAAAAGAAATTTTCTAATATGAAAAAGTTTCTATCATCCTGTAATTTAGAATAACAGGATATGCTGATTTTGACCTTCTTAGTAACCTAATATGGAAGTGTTTAAATAGTTCACATGAGGCAAAGTTCATTTTCTCATACTCATCACTTGAAGTAAAACGACATAGTTCGGCTCAAAAGCATATTTTTCATTTAAGATATTCTTATAAAATCCTTCAGAATATCCATTCTTGTAGGTGTTCAGTTACAGAATAAATTGTATTCTTTATAAATGGTATATCTTAAAGCAATGGGTGATTATAAATTAGAATGATGAAAGGATATTCTTAAATTAAAAAAATTTAAGCAATTTTTTTTTGTGAAGGTTGTATTATACTGAAATTTAGAGCGCAGTTTTCCTACCCTTCTTATAATAAATAATTCGGTATTTTGCAGGCTTGTAATTTTGGTTTCATTTTACTTATTTTTCACGCATTCAATGAGCATGCATAAGAAGATAATAAGCTGCAATTTGTCCAGGTGCTTTTGGAGCCTCTGATACTGGGAAGAAGAAAATTCTGCTGTTAAAGGGGAAAGAAAAGGAAATTCCCCATGTAAGTTCTGATCTAACCTGTGTCGCACCTTTGTTAATTTATCTTCACTTAACATATGGTGCACCTTTGGCATTTTCTACAATGCAGCACCCAAGCACCAATACATGTCGCAGCATCTGACACGTACATTTGTTCTAATGCTTCCTAGGTTCTGAAGAGATTTTTAACTGTCATTAGTTTGATTGTGCCTTTGACATTCTTTTTTATAATGATATAGACTAACAAGGTAGACTAGTTGCATGGAAGCAGATAAGCAGTTATATAGTCCATTTTAGTTGTGCTATGTAGGACCTGTATATATGAAGAGAAGGGGAAGATACATCTGTTAGTATTTGAGAGAGAGCTGAGACTAAGAAAGAGGATAAAACTTGATATCTGAATCAATATTTGTATTGTTTGTACAGACTATTTTGAATAATTTGAATTGATGTGAAATTGGTGGTGGTAAAATTTTACATGGTCATGCGATTCATGCCTATAGTTTGTTTCAAGGTTATTAATTAAAGTGATGCACTAGATATATTTATATTTTTCAAGGTTATTTTAATCATCTTAATTCAGCTATTTTTCATTTATCTCCCGTCGAGGTCTTCATATGCGGAACTTCCTTGTCTCAAATTCTTTTTCCACTGTTAGTTAGCTTTGTGCTGTACTGTCATGATGGCTGTTAGACACAGTTAACTGTCACTTCACTGTTTGAAGGGTACACTTGTTGCTATCAAGGCATTGCTGCTTTGTGATTGTTAATGCTGTTCCCATGGTATCAGTTATGACATTCTAATTGTTGGTTCCATGTAATTGTTGCGGCATGAGTCATTTGCGGACTAAAAGACCATCCATTAGGAAACTTTTGTGGTGATAAATTAGCCTACCCATTGCTGAATTTATTTTGAAGTTAACTTTTTAGATGCATTTGGATAATTCGATTAATTATGGAAATCTTTAAGTTTGTTTTAGATTATCTTTTAGTTATGTGATGTGTTTGAACTTTTTATCGTATATATTGGACATGTAGTTCATCAAATTTATTTAAAGTTAGATATATGAGAAAATATAAAAGAGAATATTTTCTTGAATTTTCATATGAAAAAAACAATGGAAGGCTCCTTATTTATAGTAAAGTTTACTTAAGTTTCATAATTATTATAGGAATAGGAAACTACATAAAAGGGATAAGATACAACATATCTACAACTAATATTTAACATTGCCCCTCAAGCTAGAGTGCACATATTGCTTGCTCCAATCTTGTCACAAATATAATTAATCTGAGGACCTTTGAGAGATTCTTTAAATATGTCTACTAGTTAATCATTTGACTTGATATAACTAATAGCAATTTCTCTTGAAAGAACTTTCTTTCGATTAAAATGGCAGTCAATCTCTCTATATGTTTGATCCTTTCATGAAAGAATTGATTTGACGCAATATGGAGAGCTGCTTGATTATTACATTTTAGTCACTTCTGTTGGACCTTTATCAACTTCAACTCTTCGAGAAGCTGTTTCAGCCATAGAAGTTCACACTTTGCTTTGGCCATGGATCAATATTCAACTTCAACAGTTGACAGGGAAACAACAGACTGTTTCTTGCTTTTCCATGAAACAAGATTACCCCCAATAATGACGCAATGTCTTATGGTTGAATGTTTATCAAACGTTCAATGTGCACCATTAGCATCTGAACCGAAAATAGCCCAAAATCCTCTCTTAATTATTCTATATATAGGAAACTGCATTAAGTGGATAAGATACAACATATCTAGAAGACTAGAGCTAATATTTAAAAATTTCATAATTATTGGATTGAAATGCGTTAGGTACAAACCACATAAACTGCACCCATTTCGCGGGTGGGTTTTTGTGGTTTTGAGGCATATGCAATGTGGTTTGTTGTTTCTCCCCAAACCACAACACGCTCACTCCTAATTGTCTCCATGGTGCAATTGTTGCGTGTAGAAAGTCGACTTGGTGATGGTCACAGAGACCATGAACTTTAGTCTAGAGGCCTAAGGAGATGGTCCGATGTTACCCAAGATAAGATTTTTTACACAGCTCGAGAATGAGCTTTCCTTGTAAAGTTTGCCATGAGCTTTGGCTAGATCTTCTGTTTTATCCTTAGTATTTGCTCCTGTTAATTAGAAATTAAGACCCATCAGACAAATGCTCTCTCCTACTGGAGTATCAGAATCAAAATTTACACTCCTGGTGGTACTTAAGGGCTGAGGGAACAGTCTTTGAAGATTTTGATGCAGATATTGATTCACAAAATCTTCATTTGTTAATAATGAAACCTACATCTTACCCTTGTTGCTGTCATTTGGATTCCAGGTGACCACTGGCTTGACACCTCAGCAGAACTCATCTTCTGTTAAGCTTGCTTATGGTTCTGGTGCTGGCAGACAGAATCAACGACACGAGGCTAGTGGAAGGATCATCAGAAGCATACTCCTTAACAAGGATACACGCCAAAGTCAGGCTTCTGCTGTTCAATCTGAACAGAATCAGACTTTGAATCAAGATAAGGACAGAAGACCACCTAGGCCACAAAACATGCCACTTTTGAAGGACTCAAACGGTTTACCAGATGATAAGGTCCATGGGCATGATTTACATGGCTTCTACAGTGAAAAACAGGATAAGCGTTCTAGGAATAGAGACAAACCTGATCGTGGTGTTTGGACTCCCCTCCGGCGATCTGATGGACCACATGCAAGTGACGAGTCCCTGTCATCTTCCACTTCTCAATCTACACAAGTGCTACCAGATTCTGCAGAAGGTCTGGTCACACTACATATTTTAATTTTAGCAGATTTTTTTACATTCTTATTCAGTGGATGTACAACTCAAGGCCTCTTGCATTGTGTTTTCTTTCTTTCTTTTGCGGCTTAATCATATAATTGTATGCTTAAGTATCTTTCATGTGGTTCTCCAGTAACTCGTGGAGAAGCAAAGTATGACCTGTCAAATGAACGTGGTGGTCATTTTTCTGCTGATAATGGTTAGTCTTGCCTCTGAAACTAAAAGGGTCATAACTATGAATATGAGACGGATCGACCTGCGATAAAAACCATAAAGTGTTCAAATATGTCACCTAGGTTTATTTATTTATATTTTACTTGTCATTACTGAAAGAAGCCTTTGATGCATCTATAATATAGGCTCCCATAAACACAGCGGTCGCCGCATATCCTCACACAATGCTAAGGATGCTGATGGCCCGTCAAATTTAAGCGAAGGAAAACCTCCGAAAAAAGGTGTTTCTGCTGGCTATGGTTCCCATGAGGTGTGTCTCTGATTGAGGACAAACTTCTATTAGCATCTTTTTTTCCTTCCAAGCTTCTGATTTAGTTGTATTTGATGACAATGCAGAAGCGCGTGTGGGTTCAAAAGTCGAGTTCTGGTTCTTAGGTTTGTCAGTAAGGTAAGCTTGTATTTTATGCTGAAACATACTATCTGCTGCTCGTTTTCTCATGTCAATGAATTAGAGCTACTGAAGAAACTTTATTACTTATATAAACCGTTTATTTGGATATGGTCAATTCTTGCATTTTTCATAAAGGACCCATGACCACCAACTTGAGAGCAATATTGCCAGTTAAAGAATGCCTTCTTTTTTTTCTAAAGAACAGACTTGAAGAGCAGCAGAAATTACTCATCAGGTTCTGGTTCTTGGTTTGTCAGCAAGGGAATATTTACTCCTATACTTTAACATACTAATCTCTCTTTTGTTTCCGCATCCCAACAAATTAAAACCTGATGAAGGAACTTCATTAATCTAATTTTCATATAACATGGAGTTTAAACATGTTCAGTTATTACATTTTAATGAATGACCCATGACCACCATTTAGAGGATGACAGACCTAAAAACATTCAACACTGAATTTGTTTGTAATAATGTTTTAAAATATGTTAAAAACATTTGTTTGTAATAAACAATTATCAAAAGGTAATTTAATTATTTATAATTTGTTTGTATAAATTATCTATAAAGAATGGAATGCATTCCATTCCAAATCTTATGAACCAGACATACCAAAGATTCTAGTCCTTCCTCGAAATCCAAATCCCTCAACAAAAATTCCGTCAAACCAAGTGGCCCCTTAGTTTTTGCTGTTTACTGGTCATAGTTACCAGCAAAGTATTTGATTCCTGCATCATTTGTCCTTAGAACTAACCACCTTCCGTACTTGATGGTTGTATTTTTGTTACACAGTAATGGAGTTTAAACCTGCTTGCATCCGGGAAAGTATTCTTTTGATCGGAAGTGGTGATCAAAGCCAAAGCAAAAGCCAACGCAAAAGCAAAAGCAAAAGCAAAAGCAAAAGATGATGAAGTGAATGAGAAAGGAATATTGGGTTCCAGTTTTAGGTTTGATGGACTGCTGGTTGAAGATACAATAGAAATGGAGCAAGAACAGGAGAAGCAAAAAGGTGTTTTTTTCTTAAAACAAAAGAAGTAAGCCCGTAGAAAAAGATGATAATACTACCAGCAAAAGTATATCCCTTTTGAATCGGGATCGTGCTTGCCCAGCGGAGCTGTCTATGGCTTGGCTGGTCAGGTTAGCCTTTTATATTTTTAAGGTCGCTGACTGTATATACTTGTTAAATCTGGCTGAAATAGTAATGTTGGTGGTGTGTACCATAGTATTTATGCACATAGATAGAGAGATGTGTGTTCTTTATGAGCATCTTAGTTTGTAATTGCAAGAAAGCTGCCGGCTTTCGTATTATGCCATTTCTGGAAGGAAATGATGATGTTGGTGTTGGTAAAAACCGATTGCATGCTCTTCAGTGTTATTGTTTTATGAGAATCGTGATTCTATCAGCTACGTCTTATTTAAGGAGCGGTTATGACATGACCGAATTTTTTAAAGAAGTGTCACATTGCGGTCCCTTATTGATCAACGGATCAGTTAAAAGTGAATCGGGACTTGGACCTTATAAGTTACTGTTTTGGCCTTGGATCAGTTAAGGGACCGGGACTGCTTCTGCCGTAACTGGTTATGTGGTGGCGCTTTTTAACCGTGGTTGGTAGTAATGGGTAGAGATCAGAAAAGACCCTTGTAATGGCGTTTCACACTTATCCCCAAGAACCAGCTAAGAGGGCCAAAATCCTTCATGGCGAGTTCCTTACTGAGCCGGTGTATAATCAAAGAACGAAGAGTCTCAGATGAAGTTGTAAGGATTATATCATCAACATAGAATAATAAATATGCCATATCCGTACCTTGTTAAAAATGAAAAGGAGTGGTCGGATATGAATGAAGAAATTCAGCAAACCGTGTACGCCATGCCCATGGTGCCTGTTAAAGGCCATATAACGACTTCTTCAAGAGACTTATGAGATGGAAGCTGGGGTCGCGAAAACCTAAGGTTTGGTGCATGTAAATGGTTTCATGTAGATTAACATGCAAAAATGCATTTTTGACATCTAGTTGATGGATAGACCAACTTTGGAGAGAGCCTAAAAATAGTTTTGATGATAGCCGTCTTAACAACCGGACGAAAAGTATCAGTATCAACACAATCGACGCCAACCTTTTGTGTCTTGCCATCACCTACAAGTCGAGCTTTATGCATCTCAAAAGAGCCATCAGAACGCTTTTTATGAGCAAATATAGTGAAGATGTGCTTTTGTAAAAACTTAATAACTATTTTAGCATCATTGGAATGATAAGCCATAACTTCCATCCATTTGGATACAAAGTTCATAGCAACCAATATGTAGGCATAATTATTGAATAGAGGAAAATTTTTCATAAAGTCTATACCCTAAACATCAAATAATCTACTTCTAGAATTCCGTTTAAGGACATTTCATTTCTTCTAGAGATATTTCTACTTTAAGTTATGAATATCATTATGCAAAGTAGGCCAGTATAGTCCTGATTGTAGAACTTTGGATGTTGTCATACTTTCTCCAAAATGTCCTACACAAGGTCCCGCAGGGCAGTGCTGTAGGACTAATGTCATTTCTTCTTTTGGGATGCATCTTCCGATCACCTGATCTACACAAATTTTAAATAAGAAAGGGTCACCCCATAAATTTCTTTGAATCATAGATGAGTTTCTTTTTTTTGATATTTATTGAATATTTGGGAATAATCCCACAAGCTAAGTAATTAACAAGATCAATAAACCAAGGTACTGGAGCATGCTGTAGGACCAAATCCTTTAATCTGGATATACTTCACATATGTCACTACCTTGTACTGGTTTGTCTTATTTTTCTAATCTTCATAGATGGTCAACCAGTTGATTATCCACACCTTTTCTATCAATGATTTTCACATCAAACTCTTGAAAAAGCAAGACCCACCTTATTAACCTAGGTTTTGCATCTTTTTTGGAAATAAGATACTTGATGGCAGCATGATCAGTATGAACAATCACTTTGGTTCCCATCAAGTATGATTTGAATTTTTCAAAAGCAAAAACCACAACTATAATTTTATTTCAGTAGTGGTGTAATTGATTTGAGCATCATTAAGAGTTTTGCTTGCATAATAAACATGATGAAAAATCTTTTCTTTCTTTTGGCCTAAAACATCTCCAACTGCCCAGTCACTAGCATCACACATTATTTCAAAAGGTTTGGACCAACCAAGTGTTATCACCACAGAAGCAGTGACCAATGCTTCTTTTAAAATGTTGAAAGCTTTTCTACAATCTTCATTAAAATTGAAACCTGGTCACGCTGTAATAATAAACAAAGAGTTTTTGATATTTTTGAAAAATCTTTAATAAACCTTATGTAAAAACTTGCATGTCCTAAAAAACTTCTGATTCCTTTTACAGTTGTTGGTTCAGGAAACTTCAATTACCTCTAACTTTGCTTATCTATTTCAATGCCTCTTTTAGAAATTAAATGTCCTAACACTATGCCCTCTTTTACCAAAAAGTGACATTTTTCCCAGTTTAAAACCAAACCTGTTTCTTCACATCTTTTAAGACTTTTTTCAAGGTKTTGTAAACACATGTCATATGATGTCTCGTAGATTGAAAAATCATCAATGAAAATTTCCATGGAGTGCTCTAACATATCAGAAAAAATAGACATCATACACCTTTGAAAAGTGGTAGGAGCATTACAAAGTCCAAAATTCATTATTCTAAAAGCAAAAGTTCCATACGGAAATGGGAAAATAGTATTTTCCTGGTCATCTGGTGCTATTGAAATCTGATTGTAACTGCAGTAGATTCTAAGTAACAATAAAACTCTTTTCCTGCTAGCTTGTCTAACATTTGGTCAATGAAAGGTAATGGAAAATGGTTTTTTTTAGTGGATTTGTTAAGCCTTCTATAGTCCATACATATCTTCCAACCAGTTACTATTCTAGTAGGTATAAGTTCATTTTTCTCATTTGGTACCACATTGACTCCACCTTTTTTGGGTACACATTGCACAGGACTGACATATATGCTACTAGCTCCTTTATAACAGGGTTTAGTCTTCTTCGAGGCTCAATAGAGGTGAAATTTTGTCTTCTAAAATAATTTTATGTTGACAAATGGTGGGACTTATCCCATTGAGGTCAACAATGGTCCATCTTATGGATTTGGTGTGTAGTTTCAACATGTCAACCGACTTCTCTTCTTGGTTAGCTTCTAATAGTGATGAAATAATGACTGAAAATTTCCCTAAATCTCCTAAAAATGCATACTTCAAATGTGAGGGAAGTTGTTTCAACTCTAGGTCTGGTGCACATTTTAAGGAAGGAACAAGAGTTTTCCTCTCCTCAGTATCAAAAGCAGCAGAGTCATGTGGTGTTTCTACTTCTTCAAAATCTTCCTCTACATCACTATCAGACTTAGATAAACCTAAAACTTCCCCCAAACTTTTCTCTTGACACCAGAATTCTATCAAACTTAAGGTAGAACATTCTTTTCTTTCTTCAGGGTACCTAAGGGAATTAAAAACATTAAAAGTCACTTGTTGATCTTGAACTCTCATGGTTAATTCTCCCTTCTGTACATCTACCAGGGTTCTTCCAGTAGCTAGAAAATGTCTTTCTAAGATAATGAGAATGTCTTTGTCAGCTTCAAACTCTAGGACGATAAAATCAGCTGGGAAAATAAGCTTATCAACCTGAACTAGGATATCCTCAATATTTTCTTTAGGATAATCTATGGACTTATCAGCTAATTGTAGAGTCACAATGGTGGGTCTAGCTTCACCTATGCCTAGGGTATTGAAAACATATAAAGGCATAAGGTTTATACTAGCACCTAAGTCACATAGGGCTTTTCCTATTTATTTTCTTCTTATTGAACAAGGGATTGTAAAGCTTCCAGGGTCTTTAAGCTTAATAGGTATTTTATTAGATAATAGAGCACTACACCCTTAAGTTAGAGCTACAATCTCATACTCAGTTAGCTTTGTATTTTTACTCAAAATGTCTTTTAGAAACTTTGCACAATTTGGCATTTTCTCAATAGCCTCAACCTATGTAACTGTTTAAAAACATTAAGAATTTTTTTTCTAAATTGTAATTCTTCCTTTTGATTCCTTAATCTTTGGAGATAAGGAATATAAGGAGTGACTGCAGTAGGAGAAGTAGTTTTTTGAAGAGTATGCGCTGGAATGGGTTTCAAAGTTGGTTATACAATGGAGTCTAATTCAGTTCTACAAGGGATTATATGACTGGTTTAGACTGATATTGTGGGACTACCACCCCATTGTGACACATCAACTACAATACGTTCTTTGAATGTCTGGATTTTCTTGGATTCATCAGGAAATAATAATGAAAATTCTGATCTTTTTGGAATGGTTGTAATATCAATAGGCTTAACTATACTATCTGATTGGTTCATAGTAATGGTAATAACAAAAGATGGTACTGAGGTAACAAAATCTGGTACCACAACTTTTCTTTTCAGGCTTTGCTTTGCATGGTTCTTTTTGTTTTTTTGGGTATTTTCTATTAAAGTCTTTCCACTCCTCAAGGTAACAACCTTAACATGCTCTTTTTCTTCTCTTTAAGGTGTCTTTGTATCACTAGGTTGAGAACCTACTGGTCTTTTTCTGATTTCCAAATCCATTTGTCCTATTTAAGTTTCAAGATTTTTAATTGATGCTTAAGTTTGGGTCATAAAACCCTTCATCATTGCTTCCAAGGAAGTAGATGATTCGACATGCTGTTTGGACTTGTTTTGGAAAGAAGGCTGATGACTTTGAGTTTGAAAATTAGCATGTTGGTTATTATGATTGCCTTAGTGTGATTGTGAGTACAAATTAGATTGGCCTTTTTGTTGACAATTGGATTGTCCATGTGGCTGAAAATTTAACTGTCCATGTGGTTTTGGCATTGGTGGATTAAGAGCTTGACTATGCGATGAAAATGTGGATTATTTCATCATCCAGGATTATAAGTCTGTAAAAATGGTCCAGTCCTGTTAACAAAATTTACTTGTTCAGGATTTCCAGGACAATGCTCAAAAGAGTGCCCATCACCACATCACACATTGCACAGATTGAACATCGGGGTTAAAGGTGTTAGCATCAGGTTGCACATGTGAGCTAGATGTCATATTTGAAATCAACTTAGTGATTTGAGCTGTTAATGATAAAATAACATCTACCTCATGTATCCCAACTGTCTTTTTTAGTGGTATTGCACGTGGATTAGACCATTGTTTGTTATTGTTAGAAATCTTTTCAAGTATGTCAAAACCTTTATTATAGGTGCAAGTTGTGAAAGCTCCTCCTGCAGTAGCATCGAGCGTTTGTCTAGCAACTTTATTTAAATCATTGTAAGATGTCTCTACCT